AGAAAAGGAACACAACATGCTTCACTGAGTTCAACCTATTTTACAATTAATTGCAGAATCATATCAGCAGTGATAAAGTTCTTTCTCTCAGACAAGGCACCTACTTCACCTTTCTGTTGCTTCCCCAAGTTTATTGTCTGCAGACAATATTGTCTCATTCAATTAGCAAGCATTCCTTGAGCAGCTACTATTTACCAGGAGCTCCCGCTAGGAGCAAGGCTGAGTAAGACATGCTGTTGGTTCTCAGGAGCCCACACAGGAGACAGACGTGCAAACAAATAATTATAACATGCTCTGAGAAAGCTGTAAAAGTCAGATCCACAACGCAAGGGGGTTTGGGGCAAAGACTAATTAGTTTGGCTGGCAGGTTGGGAAAGATCTCACGAGCAGGTGGCACCTGATGTAACACTGCAGGTGGGTGGGTCCAGAGGATCCCGATGGCTTCTTCCAACTCCATCTTCAGATTCTAAATGAAGACAGAGTGCAGTGGAGGCACATGGCGTGAACAGTCCTGTCCAGAGCACACTTGTCCTTGAACCACTCAGCCCCACAGCACAGCCCGTCAAGGCTGGTTGAGTAAAACCTGCTGATTCTCAAAGGTATAAGGCCAAGGTGTGACTCAGAGTCAGCCACCACCTGGAAGCGCCTGCCTTCATTGAGAAAGTGCTGACTCCTTTCACTGTGAATCACGCATTTCCCAGAAGCATCTGGGTCTCTGAAACTTCCCTTAGGAAATTCCCAAATGCACTCATGAACTCTTTTTAATGGCACAATTTGTGGACACGTTTGTCTCGATCAAATGTTCCAGTGAAGAGAAGTCTTTCCCATGAAAGGTTTGGTAGAATTTCATTTCTTCACCTCCTCTCTTGCTGCTTCTTTTACGGGCAAGGTTGGAGTGAGGGGTTTTTGTAAATAATACTTCTGATATTCCTATACAGAGGCTGGAAGAGGCCTGTCATCTCCTCTGGGAAATGAGTGGAGTTACTGAGTACTCCTCTCTTAAAAAAAAAAAAATATTTTCAAGTTCACAGTCTGGAAGTCTGGAAGCTGACAGGGTGGGGCAGGGAGAGAAGGAGGCATTCAAAATGCAAACTAGGAACAGACTGGGGTAAAAGAAATAAGAAATGAGTCCATCCGCTCTGACTCCTCTCCTTCCCATCAGCCATCTGTGCAGGCAGGGGTCTCCCGGGTGTGCTCAGTGGGTGAGTGTGTCTGGCTGTCTTTTTACTGAGCATCTGCAGGGCCCAAGGACAGGAGGAGAAGAACCAGACTGTGAAGATGAACAACAAGGTTCTTGGAGGAGTGTCACTGTATTTATAGACATGTGCGTTGATTTTATTGTTTTCAGTTGTGAGCAAAGCATGGGGGCAGGGCTGAGTGTGGACAAGGCCAGTGCTGTCCCTAGAGCAGAGCCCAGGATTAGGGGAAGGGCCTCAAGGAGACTCTGCACCTGAGCAGAGCAGGGACAGGGGTGCCCCCACTCTGGGCAGGAAGGATGCACTGGAGAGCAGCAAGGTGTTTGGACACTCCCTGCTGACCAGTGCCTTGAGACGGTCACCTCCCCTCCCCTGGAGACCAGAGCATCTATAGCATAAAGGCAGCTCCCAATATGGCAGGGTCATGAAGGTGTCCACCATGCTACATGAGGTCCAGGAGTCTGAGAAAGACAGTTCAGTGACTGAAAGATCTTACACAACAGGAAGTCAAGTCACCGGGGTTCCCAGCCCACCGTGTCACAGGGCTGGCCATTCGATCACCAAGGACAGACAGCTCACTCTCACCAGGCCTCTCTCCTACTGTAACCTCAGCAATGTGGATTCCATCATCTCTGAGTTTCCTCTTTGGTCCTTCTAGCGGCCTCCCGTGGCTGTCTCCTGAGGCTCTCCTGGGAATCTGGGTGACTAATGTGGTTTCCCAGAGAAGGTAACGAATGCCATGGCTTGGAGAAGCGGAGGGTCCCTGCTGTACCTGAGTGAGTAACCAACTAGTGTACAGTTTTCACCATGTTCCCAGGCCCCGCCACTCAGGCTCACCAAGAGACTGAGGAGCTATCTTTCCTGGTCCTCACAGGCTGTTCTGACAGCTCCTCTACCATTCTACCTTCTCTTTCTTACCTTCCACACACTTGTCCAGCACTGTGAATGCCCTCCTGACCCAGCTACTCACAGTCTCATTGGGGACAAAGAGGCTGTTACAGGTAGAATGGGTCCCACCAAAGTCATACGCTCAAGCCTAACCCCACTACGTCAGAACATGAACTTATGCGGAAACAGGGTCCTTGTGGATATGATTAGCCAAGATGAGGTCATGGAGCAGGCTCTGATCCAACATGACTGAAGTCCAGGTGAAAAAGTTCCTGTGGACCCTCGCTGGCCAAGGAAGCCATGTACGTCTATACACAGGGAGGAGACAGGAATGGCCCTCAGAAAACCAACCATGCCCCTGCTTCTGGCTTTCAGAACCAGAGGCAGTAAACTCTGCTGTGTGAGCCACCCGGTCTGGGAGCTCTGTTTTATCAGCGCTAGGAAACTCATAAAGATGTGGGCCTGAAACTCAACCCACAGGCAAGACGGGTCCTGGCAGAGGATTCATTTGGAAAGGAAACCACTAACCCTTTGTGGACTGAAACCCTATTTACTCCACAGAGAGTAAAAGGACGAATATCCAGAGTCACAGCTGAGACGCCAGGGTCTGAAGACATGGGCAGAGAAGCTTCAGACCCTGTCAGAACCAGGCAGAGGACATTGCTGTGCCACAACAGCCCTCTCAGTAAACAGAGACCTGAGAGAGAAGTGTCCTTGTCTCAGCTTTGCTGTGACCTTGAGAGGGTCAGACCAGCAGGTTCACTTGATTTCACTATGTGACGCCCTGATGCCTCCTCAGATGCAAGTACCACGCCCACAGACTTCCAAGTTTCCAGTGCCATGGGCCAAATAAACCTGTGTTCATAATATTGTCTGATCTCTTATATTTTGTTATAGAGAAAATATATGGGGCTGGAGGGCAAAGGGATTGAAAGACGAAACTTCAAATGAGTAGACACAGACCAAATGCAGGCCACCAGAGAATGAGGTTCCCGCTCTTACGAAACCATTTTTTTTTCTCTAATTCTTGCAGTAAAGCAGAAACAACACGCAAAATTTAGAAAATTAAAGTAAGTGTACAATTCACAGATATAAAACAAAGCCAGACACAAAATGGATCCACACTTTGTGAGCCCATTGCTATAAGGTTCAAGGAGAGGCAGATTTCTTTACAGAGGAAAAAGTAAAAACAGAGGTAGCCTCTTCCAGAAAGGTAGGCACTCAAAAAGTTCACAGGTTCTAGGGAGATAGTGATGCTCTGTGCTGTGATAGGGATGCAAGAAACACAAACATATTCACTTATCAAAATTGGGCAGTTAAAAAAAACTGGACAGTTAAGATTTGTGAGCCAAGCTCACATCTGTAATCTCAGCACTCTGGAAGGCTGAGGCAGGAGGATGGCAAGTTCAAACCCAGCCTGCATACCTTAGAGACTTAGCAAGGCCTTGTCCCAAGTTTTTTTTAAAAAATACATAAGTAAAAAGGGCCAAGAATGTAGCTCAGTGTGATTTTCAACCCCCAGGACCACATATCAAAAAAATAAAAAGATTTATAAATTTTGGTTTGTAAATTTTACCCTCAAAATATATAAAGAAGTGTAAAAATATTTATCATACAAAAATTACACCAACCAAAGATAACCTACTGAAACTTTTTTCACCACATATGGCCTGTTTTCTCTGGTAAAGTTTATACAGCTGAAATCATGCAGTATGTATAATTTTGTTTCCTCTCTCCTTTGTAACTTTATGTGACAAGAACACTTGTCCATATCATTGATGCTGTAGGCAACATCATTTTAAAATATTTATCATACAAAAATTACACCAACCAAAGATAACCTACTGAAACTTTTTTCACCACATATGGCCTGTTTTCTCTGGTAAAGTTTATACAGCTGAAATCATGCAGTATGTATAATTTTGTTTCCTCTCTCCTTTGTAACTTTATGTGACAAGAACACTTGTCCATATCATTGATGCTGTAGGCAACATCATTTTAAAGTAATTGCCTGGCATCCTGATGCCCAGTTGTCCTCTAATTCACTCACGGCTTCCACCGTATTAGGCATTTAGGTAACTCTGTGATTAACGCCCATGTCCATCCATCTGTGTCTGCCTTTCTGATTATTTTCTCTAGAAGTTTCCCAGAAGAGGAATTACTGGCTATAGAGTATGCATATCTTAAGGCTTTTTGATGCCTGTTGCCAAATTGCTTTCGCTTCATAGCCACCAATCTCTCCTCCCCACGCCCTCCCCAGCCGTGAGCAGTTGTCGTCTTGATCTAACACGAAGCAGCCGGGGAAAATGGTGTTTTTATTGTTGTGATTTGCATTTCTGTGATGACTGCTAACGCAGGACAGCCTTTCCTCATCTGTGAGCCATTTTTATTTCCCTGTCTGCGAACTACCTGTACACAGCCATAACTTCCCATAGTATGCATAGTTTTGGTGTTTTCTTATTAGAATAAAAATGCTTTAAAGACAGTGGCTGTTAACCCCTCCACCATGTGTGTCATGCTTATTCCTAGTATTTCACTTTGTTCCTCCTTTTCACTCTCTACAGTGGTGTCTAACTTGTGTCAACCATACTTTCATCGAGTCAGAACCACTTTCTTTGCTTTCTTTGTCAGTGCTTCCTGCTTGGTGAGTCAACGTGGGCTATTTTCAGGGGCTGACCATGAGTTATGGGCTGGAGCTCAGAAGCCCACGGTGTCACCGCGAGATCAAAAAAGAAGGCCTAGGAGCGCAGACCTGTCTTGGGAGTAGGGGAGAGACAAGGCGGGATGTGTGGGGAGAGGACGGGACGGCAGGGCTCCCCCTACAGGGGAGTTCGCGGTAGGTGCGGTGAGGCCTGTAGGCCTGTAGGCCCTCGAGCTAGTGTATGCCTCGCGCAACTTCTGTTCACCTGTGGTTGTTGAGCCCTTGGGTCGTCCCCGTTGCAGCTAAGTTGTGCTGTGAATGAAAAACACAGCCAGAACGCCAGTACCTCCTGTAGGAAAATGTCAAATGCTCTTTATGTTAATTGCATGTTAAATGATGACACTTTGGCTATCTTGAGTTAAATAGAATATATTACTAAAATTAATATTACCTGGATGTAATAAATGTGGCTACTTGAAAATGTAAAATACCATGAGTGACTCACAATCTATTTCTCTACCGGGCAGCTGTGGGACAGTATCAGAAACCAGCTTTCAAGGGAAGATCCTGCTGTCTGCACGCTGAGGACCCCAACAGTGAGGGTCTATACTGTGGCAGACACAGAGCTGCTGCAGGCACTTTGATCTGTGTTCTTTGTGAGTTGATTCACAATAACCCATGAGTTATGTCGTTCCCATTGTAGAAACGAGGAGAATAAGATGAGACCTTAATGTGAACAAAACACAGGGCCAGGACATTTGTTTTTGGTCTCATGCTCTCTCTAGCTCATGACATTTAACCTCTCTGAACCCCAGCTTCTTCGTGTTTAAATTGTGCGTGTCAGAAGTTGAGCTCTCTAGAAAGCAGACTCTGAGAGGATTAGCATGTGGGAAGAATAACAATGATGCTTACACGACAGGGCTATTCCGGTAAAAGGAGGGTATTGTTTAAAGTAAGACATAATGAGAAATGTATGTTTTATAAACATATATCTCATTAATATATATATACTAGAATATATATGTATATTCCGTTAATATAAGGAGCACAGAAGAATATAAAATTAGAAAGTTGCTTATCCCAATATTATTATTCTTGTGTTACATGTAAGAGTGAACTATTATATCCACCATGTTTAATAATGGGATGCCAAATGTTTTCAAGAAAGATAACATCATGGAGAGAATGATGTTCAAAGAAAAATAAGCTGGTTTCTGTGCATGAAATGGCTTTTAATTAGAGTTACAAAGCAGAGAGACTGATAGAGTTCAGGTGTGGTTCAAGCTCGAGGTGATAGAAACCTGAACCTAGGTCATGGAAATGAAGGAGAGACAATGCTAAAATAGTCTCAAGGTAAAATGAACAGAAAGTGGGGACTCATTATATGGAGGAAGACTGAGATTTCCAAACTGAGTAGCAGGAATTTAGAAGTACTCCTTATAAAGACAGGTAAATCACAAAAAGCACTTTTTAAAGGGCCACAGATTATATCCCTATGAGCAGCACAGAGGTGCCACCATTGCATCAGCATGGAAGCAGCTGACAGAGGCAAAAGTATCTCCTGCAAACGCAAAGTAACCTCTCACCGAATTTGCTGCTAAAAACCAGTGCTCACAACAGCCCAAAATGCTATCCTAGGAGTAATCTTCTTTAATTTATACCATTCCTTTTCCAGAAAGAATTAAGGTCGAGCCACAAAATTTGTAAAACCTGTCAAAAGAAGACAAATCAATAGTAGGCAAGAAAGAATGAGGCAAAGGGGAAATGACAGCGGGAACATAAACAGCCGGGAATGCGAATGTATGAAAACGTCTGCCAAAGGCTTCTCCTCCTTGCCAAAGACCGACTCCAAGCCTTTCGGATTCCAAGACTGAAAAGATGTGAAAAGAACGTGGTAAGTCAGAGAAAACCTGTGGGGTGGATTTGGGGTGGGTGTGGAAGGAGCCGGAGAATAGAAAGATGAGGTGTCTCGTGATAGTTTTTTTAACTAAAGCTGACTCATCTTCCGATGAGGGTGCTGTGGTGCTGTGGACTCAGCATACGGAGAAATGCTAACACTTCTAGACAGTGACGTGTGATGCTAGCTGAAGAGAAGCCCAGGCTGGTGACATCTGACGTAGCTAGTCTGCAGGACGGACTGCACACAGAACATCTCCGTCTGCAAATGACACTAAGTTCTCCAGGCAGCAAGGTGCCGAGACTGCCAGGGCAATGCAGGAAGATCACTGTTGTCTACACACACAAGTGCACGGTGGACTAAGAACTGTCATTTCCAACAGATCATACTGTGAGGCTAAGCTCCCATTTGCCACTGAAGAAGTAAAAATAAATAAATTTTTTAAAAATCATCACTTGGATTGTCAAGTTCCAGTAATGGAATGGTAGGTAATTTAGACCAATCTCCCAACAAAGAAATGGTAACTTAATGGAGAACAATCTAATCAACTATCTAGCAAGCCAAGTATAAAACTAAAAAGTCACTACACCTACCAGTTGAGCTTAGCAAGATATCAGGACACAAGCTCAATATATGAAAATTAACTCTATGAGGTGGCCATAATCTGAGATGACAATTTGAAATTCAGTACACTTTATCATATCATCAAAAATCACTTAATAATAAATCTGGGGGAAAAACACTGAAAATCTGTACACTGAAAACTATAAAACATTACTGAGAGAAATTAATGATGATCTAAATGCATGGAGAAATTTTCTCTTGTTCCCAGCTCAATATCATGGTTTATGTTCAGTTGTCAATTCTCCCCAAATTAACCTAGATTAAAAAAGAAAACTCACCAAAATCCCAGATGGCTGTTTTGAAGAAACTAGCAAGCTGATTCAAAAGGACTGAGAATAACTTAAACAAATTTGAAAAAGAAGAACAAAGTTGAAGGATTAACACTGTCTAATTTCAAAAATTATTACAAAACTACAGCAATCTAAACAGTATGGTATTGTCATTAAGATAGACAAATCACTGGAACAGAAGAGCATTTAGAGAGCAACTTCTACATAGATAGAAACTAATTTTTAGCAGATTCAATGGCAGAGGAGTAGAGAAATAATAGCCTTTTCAACAAATGGTGCTGAATAAAATACATATGAACATAGAAGCAAATATAAATTTAAGTCCATACTTCAATTCATACAGAAAAATTAAATCAAATGTGGCATATACCTAAAAGTAAAGCCTAAAATAAAACACTTGTAGAAGAAAATTGTTGAACGTGGAGTTGGGACAAAGATGTCTTATGTACAACACAGAAAACACTGTAAATAAAAAGGACAAGTAATAAACTGGGTTTCTCCAAAAGTAAAACTACTACTCTAAAAGATGTTACTAGGAGAATCCAAAAACTGGAAGAAAAACTTTGCAAAACATGCAAGGACTTCTGTACAAAGTATATAAATAACTCTCCAAAACTCAACAATAAGAAAACAATTTTTAAATGAGCAAAAGAAATAAACACATGGCTCACCAAAGATTTGCAGATAGAATGTAAGCACATGAAAAGGTGCTCGGTACAGTTTGTATTTCAACAGGGAAATACAAATTGAAATCATGATGAGATACCACTGTGCACCCATTAAAATGATTAAAATTTAAAGAGCTTTTCCTACCAAGGGGTGGCATGAATATGGAAGAAATGCAGCTCTCACACAGACCTAAGGGTATGTTAAATGTTACAACCACTTTGGAAAACAACTTGGCAGTTTCTTAAGACTACCACATCATCCAGCTATTCCATCCACCCCAGAGAAAAGGAGATTTATATTCATACAGACTTGCACACTGGCGTTCACAGGAGCCTTATTTGTAGTAGCTACGGAATAAAACCCCCAATGTTCCTCATAAATAATACACTGCCCATCCAGACAATGAAATATTACTCAACAATAAAAAGAAATAAACTGTGAATAGATGAAATGACATGGATGTCTTAGTTACTTTGCCAGCACTGGGACAAAATACCTGATACCCTCAATTTAAAGGAGTTGAGGTTTATTTCAGACCCTGGTTTCAGTCCATGGCCCACTGGCTCCCAGGTAGAAATGCCAGGCTGGAAGGACAGGGTGAGGGAAAAAGTACACAAGCTGTGGCAGCTAGGACACAGGGAGTGAGGGGAGGAACTAGGCAGGGACATCGTGCTCCCACACTGTGTCCCCAGTGACCCACCTTTCCAGTCCAGACCCCACCTCTTAACAGCACAATTAGCTGATGAGGACAGAGCCCCTATGATTCAATCTCCTCCCCCGATCTCCAACTCCAAATGTGTAATTTTAGGGGGACAGTTCAGATCTTAACCATAACAATGAGTGAAATAAGTCAGATAAAAATATATATACAAGTACTGTATATTCCATTTATATAAAACTCTAGAGCGGGGCATTTAGCTCAGTGGTTCCGGCGCCTGCCTTGCAAGTGCAAGGACCTGAGTTCAATCCCCGGTACCAAAAATAAATAAATAAAATAGAACTCTAGAATGCAAACTAATCAATAGCCACAAAAACTAGGTCAGGGTTCGCTAAAGGATGGGCGGGTGGGAGGGATATGGAGGAAACTGTTGGGATTGATGGATAAGTACACATAGCCAAAATTAATTCACTGTGCACTTTAAACATGTGCAGTTCACTGGGAATTCTACTTTCATAACGCTATTAAAAGACTTGTGAGAATGAATAAAGAGAAAGAGAGAAAACCTGCCTGGGCCCCAGACCATCCTTAAATGTGCAGGCTGAGATTTTAAGCACCATGGACAACACAAGCTGAATTCACAGGTTAAACCTACATCTCGGCCCTCTGCAGACCTCTTTCTCAAATCTTCCAAAGCAGATGGGTTTATTCCCCAGCCACCAGAACACAGCACGTGGGGCAGAGGCACAAAGAAATTCAGCATCCTCTGCCTCTTATAATGAAGAGCCATGGGTTTATTTCAAAGGATCTGGGTCAAGAAGATGCTGTGCTTTTCCACAGACACCCCTTCCTTGCCATGTTCACTCCTCCATTCATTGACACTTGCAGTTGAGTGGCTGACACACATGAAGATTTAAAATAGGCCAAGTGGGGACACAGACACGAGGAAGATGGGAATAATCAGAGTTGCCTTGTGGCTTTTATACATGCTAATCATTTTTGCCTTTTGGGATCCTTTTCTTCATTTATATATCTTATGACTGTGTCAGTATAAAGTTAAACATAATCCAGGCTTGCTTTATTACTTCATTTATTATTATTGTGCTCATTTTTCAACTGATTTGAAGAGAAATCAAATTAAAACATCTTCATGGACTCTTGAGTGTCTATAGGCACTGTGTCAGCTGTACCAGTGGGTAAGTGGATCCCAGGTATAATCCCTGCCCTTACGCAGCTGCTGTGTAGGAGAAGAAGACACTTTTGAACAGAGACTCACACTGGGCAATTATCAGGCAAAAGCAAGAAGAAGGAAGAAGCTCCGCATCTTAGAAGAACTAAAAGAAGGCCAGTGTCTACGGCCTAATGACCAAAAGAGCACATTGTATAACTACAGTTGTAAAGTAAAATAGACTTGTGTAAGGTTCTGGTTTATCTCAGGGTGATAGGCCACCGAAGCACATCAAAGGATACAACCAACAAAGTATAAAGGCCCAGGGTGGAAGAATATTTACAAATATTTACAAAGAAAAGGGTTAATATCCAAAAAATATAAAGGACTTCTACAATTCAACAACAAATGACATCAAAATAGGCAAAGGATTTGAACAGATACTTTTCCAAAGATATACGAATGCCCCATGAACAATAAAAATGTGTGCGTCATTAATCACGAGGGAAATGCTAATCAAAAGCAAAGTGAGATACCACTTTACACCCAGAAGCTCATCTACTATCAAAACAACAGAAATTGGGCAGAGGGATTTAGCTCAATGGTTCTGCTGCCTGCCTCAAAAGTGCAAGGTCCCAAGTTCAATCCCCAGTACAAAAAAAAAAAAGAAAGAAAGAAAGAAAGTAATAATTGTTGGTGGGGAAGCAACCAAAATCTTTATGTACTGTGAGTAGGAATGGAAAATGGCATGATTGCCATGGAAAAGAGTAGGAAAGTTCTTCAAAAGATTAAAAATAGAATTACCATCTAATCCAGAAATTACCCTTCTGAGTATATGCCCAAAAGAATTGAAAGAGATACTTGTATATCCATGTTCAGAGTGGCATTATCATAATAGCCAAAAGGTGGAGGTAACTCAAGTGTCTCTAACAGATTAATAGACAAAATGTGATAGATATATATAGATATAGATATATACAAAGGAATATTATGCACCCTAAAAAAGGAAGAAATTTCTGCTATATTCTAAAACATAGATGAGTCTTGATGGCATTATGGTAAGGGAAATAAGAGAGTCAACAAAAAAGGCAAACATTGTGATTCTGCCTAATACGATGTGCCTAAAGTAGTCAAATTAATAGATACAGAAAATAAAAGATGGTTGCCAAGAACTCAAGGGAAGGGAAAGTAGAGAGTTATTGTTTAATGAGTGCAGAATTTCAATTTTGCAGAATGAAAACATTCTGGAGACAAATAGTACAACTTTATGAATGCATAACGCCACTCAGCTACATATTTAACAAGATTAAGATAGAATTTTTGTGTCAAATGAAGCAAACGAAAAGTAAATAAAGTCATTAAAGTTGAGCAGTGGGGAAACTGTAACACAATTAAGGGTTGTTTTTTTTTAAGATTTCCCTACGTTTTGTGGAAAGAATGAATGAAATAACACAGGAATAAGT